TATATCAGTCCAGATATCATTACAATCTCCGAAATATATTCCTGTAAAATCACATTACTAATAAGCGCGAACATGACAAATAAATTATCTCCAATATCACTTATATGCCATCATAATACGTGTAAATGATGAAAACAATGTCTAAATATCTATGATAGCTATGGATTTTATTCAGTGCTAATGGTATAGTATGATGTGCGCATTATATCTAATTGTTACTTTACACGAGTAAATACGTTCAAACATAAAAAACTACTACAAGCGCATATAATAATTAGCAACATCCGAAGTCATGTCATACTAACACTTGTAAACAAAGTAAATAAAGTATTTCCAATTTATTAAAGTATTCCCGTTAATGCCATTATAAGAAAGGGCGAATAATTATAAATATTTATGGTTAATTATGAATTTGATTTAATCCATATGAATCAATAAATGAATTATTTTGAAATGAATTTATGACAGTAATAATATGCACCTTGTCCGCCGATTGTAATAGCTTGAGTACATTTATCTCCGGTCAGCCTATCCTTACACCCATCTGTACATGTACCGTTGTTTCTATCACAGTTAAGATCTTTACACCCACCAGGACAAGGTTTCTCGCAGGTATCGCCCCAAAATGTTTGGTTACATCCGTTTAAACAATATCCGTCTGCATGATGACATGTATGTTTACCACTTATAATTATGCATGCCGGGTTGCAGTCTAAACTGCAATCAGTTGAGTAAAAATTACCTTTACACATTAGACAACTATTTCCATTATCTTTTGAACACTTTAAACACTTGCTGTTACATTGTTCTGAACATTTTACATCAGTCCAGCCCTCGTTGCATTCTCCTTGACATATTCCAGTACTATCACAATTCGTAGAACATTCTTTCGAGCACAATGATTTGTTTGATTCACATGTTTCACCATTGAATATCTGTCCCTCTGAACAATCAGCACAGACTAACGAATCATTGTGTTTTTGACACTGGTTACAACCTTGAATAACACAGTCCGGACATTGCGTTTGTTGAAAACATGACACACAATGAATATTGTCATTAAACTTATAAAGGCTGAAACCACTTTTGCAAAATAAACACGTTTTCTGATCCTTACAATATTTACAATTAGACGGACAAGGTTGGCATATTGTTTCGATATCGAGTTTATACTCATAATATCCAGCTTTACAACCAATTGAGCAGGTACGTAAATCGCAAAGTGCATTTTCACATAAACTACAATTGTGTTGACATTGATATCCATAGAAACCAGGCTTACATTTAATACAATATCCCGTATCAGCTTGACATTCACTATTTAGACAATAACCATGACAGTTGAAAGTACATCTTTCATGTAAACCATACTGATTTGGCTTACATGACGTACAGTCATCGTAGCTGTTACATCTTTCACAATCTTGGGGGCATGGCGAGCAAAAACCATTTGATAAATAGTAAGATGATTCACAACTTGTGCAAGTTGAACCAGTGCATGCTTGGCAGTGAACTGAACATTCTGCAAACATTTATATATTTCGACTATTTACATGTTCTTAGTTATATACAGTATATTTTACCATCTATACAATATGATAACGAAATATATCCTTACGCAGCTTCATAGACCATAAAAAGAACTTAAAGCTAATTTTTCTTTTCAACCGAATATGAATAATATTAGGCAAATGGATAATAGTTTTCAATACTTAATGATACAGTTAAAACAAGAAAGAAAAAGTATTCCACAGTTAAAACGTCTATGAAATTACTTACCGGCAAATACCATATCAACAAACAGTACAGTAACTAGTACTAATGCTGAAATTTCCTTAGATAACATGTTCCGTATCCATGTATGCAATATAATCTAAAAAAAATAATTGTGTACATATAATAAAGATACAGATAATGGTGTGATCAAACTTATTGGAAATGCATTTCAATATAAAGATTTTTTTTATAAATTTCGTTCTTTGGTTATGTCTTTGATCTTAAAGTCAAAAAGGCACTCATAGTTTATTATTAGTTTTAGAGGTTATGATATGCATAGAAATAAAACAGTTTTAGACATTTGAATGTCTAACATAAAGAATTAAGGTACTTTAAGCTTAAACAAAAGTAGTGAGATTTTAAAATTATATTTTTTTTAAAATGATAAAGAGTCAAAATGTTCTTACAATACTGATATCCTTTCCGTTTTTCTCATTTGATAACGCGAAATATCTTCTTTTTATATCACTCTTTATTATTTGAACAGTAATGGTGGTTAAGCATACCTATCTGTTTAATCATTTCAAAATAAACTTGTTCAAAACTTCCTCTTAACATTATTGTGCATAGAATACTAGAATAAAGTTTTGAATTGGATACAGTATGCATCAGTGACTCTCTATATGGCGCCGCTATTTTTAGACGGATTAATACGGTCGAATACATTTACACGTTTGATCTTTTTTTTAAAAAAATAACTTTCAAGTAAATAAGTAGGATTTAGTTTATTCGCGCATTTGAAAAATCTACTCCACAAATTGAATTCAAGTATTCATGAAGTTGAATCTGTTAAAATGTTAAAATTGTAAAGTAATGAAGTTTAGGTGGCCAGTTTGTTAAATTGAGACGGTATTTGGTTCACACTTATATTTCTAAAGAACCAATTACTTCACTTTTCAACAAAATTATTTTCTTTTGTCATTATATGGAAATAAACTCATTTTGAAAGTAATTTGAATAACCCTCTTTCATGTCTGAATTAAACATTTTATTTGCAAAATTTCGAGTTGCGCATTTATATTAAAACGGAAATTGTTATATAATGAATATGTTTAGAAATACTTTAACATGTTCAGTAAATATGTATGGCCAGTCGGATCTATCGAGCCATTTCTTAATCAATAAATCAGATTCATTTTCTACACTTAATTTACAATTTTATTGGCAGATACATGTTTTAAAATGTTTTTCAATTTCTCGGCCATTTCCGTCGAACTTCGGATAAGGACGTCGAACAACAAAGATCGGATAAGGAACGCCAATCTGCGCAACAAAATTAAAACATATTTACAAATAGAAACTAAACGACATTTTTATGATAACTAGCGTTGTTCCGATCCATCATTAATAAATTACGCGTTACAACTTAAAGATTAACCCAGTCACAATTTAGCAGCTTATTTAAGTGTAATGATACAGTAGATTGGCTAATGTCTCCGCCAACTTTGTTAATCCGATAAATCATGCAAACATGGACATATTACAAGAAGGCAAGACTAGATTTGTTTATAAAAACTTTCTTATGGCAATTAAATTATAAAAGATTCATGCCATAAATTGATAAATTAAGATGTTGCAATTAGATTTAAACTATTGAAATGTGCTCTTAATGATTTTTAGATACTTTCACAATTGAAATGAGTAATAAACGGAATATTGTTATGAGACCTATTGGAATATACATGTAGTTTTATGTTCAAAATGTGTGACAGGCCGATCTGATCGAAAAAAGAAAAACATGCATGTTACATAACGCGCTTCGATTGCGAACCGAATTAACAAACCTTTTTCCTCTATAAATCACATTGATCAAGAACTAATCTGTACCGTTAAATTATAAATTGAAATTGTAAATGTACTTTTGTACACATAAGACGATATAAAAGAATTTGAACCCCAAGATAAATGAAGTGATATACACAAATTTTGATCGTTTTATGTTGATTTGCTTATATGAATTATTTATTTATATTTATGAATTATGTCTTTCAAAAGAAGATTATCTTCCTGGATAATATGCTTCTTAAAAAAATTATGCGGATGCATTAACTGAATGCCTCCCTTTCTTGTTGATCTTGTTTTTCAGATTCTGACCCTTTGTCTTATACTAGTCAAATCAAATCTTGAACTTGTGTTAGTCTTATCGAAATGTTCGTCTTAGTTTGTGTCTCAGATATTAAGCTTCCTTCAAATTCTAAAGTCAAGTTCTTCGAGTCATTTGAGGAAAAGGCTCACCATGTTGTCTAAATGAGATTAACTTGTCACACACACTAAATCAAATAATATAAAATAGACATGACTTTTCTTGTTTAAATTTTTGACTGTCTAAGTGACTTTAACTCTTTGCGTCTGATAATCTTAGTTATTATTGTCATCATTATGACTAACATTTTACCATATGAAAGGATAGTACATTTCGCGCAGCTTTTATAATAGGTAACTGAAATATTTATTAGAGAACCTGGGACATATTATATTCAGATTTTTATTTCTTTATATAAAATGTTTAATAATTTAAACCATTCTATACGTTTAAATTTAGTGGGGTTTGATCTTTTATGAACATTTTCCTAAATAACGGTGAGCAAAATTTACTGTTATTAAACCTCCTATAGAATCTAGTAAATCTAAGAACGTATGCAGTGTTTATAGTATCCTTCGCTTTGACTGAAAACGAAAGATCTTCTCTCTTTTTCCAATTTAACCTCATATAAATAGGTTTATACAAAATCGCTTTTCTGTTCAGGTTCTATAAAAGTAATATAACTTAGACGCAAGCAATGTTCTTTACGTTCACTCAATGTTAAGTTTTTTTTAGACAATGCCTCTATAGCAATCACTGAATTAAAAGAAACAACAACAACAAAAAACAGCAAAACGCTTTCATTTTTATGGCAATACCGATTAACAAATATAATGATTGCTTCGCGCGGTATTATTATAATATACATGTACTATTTCCCCTTGTAGGAAGTGTGTTGTCTTACTACTACAGTGTTTACTCCGTAATGCAGAAATGTGAAAATCCTCACAGGAACTGTGCAATAGTAACACCAAATCTGAGCCTATTTGGTCTTAGGGGGCATTGTGTTCTAGTCATGAAAGGTAATATGTTATTTCATCGACTAGCATATGACTTTATCAATAAGTAATTATAAATGATTTAATTCATTACTATATATATATATGAAGATAAAATTTACAATAACACAGATTTACATGTCATAAATTTAATAAAGTTTGAATATTACAAAGCTAACAATTAAAACAGACATCAGTGTAACAATAATATGTAAAAGTAAAAGCAAAACGTATACTTAATAAGTAATAGGATAACGAATTAAAAACTAATATTGAGCACCACTGGTTGAATGTATAAAAAAAATTTTTAGTTTTAAATGTCAATGTATGTGTTGAATAAATAAAGCCATTTAGTTCGAGATCAACTATAGAACTATATCTGCAAAGTACTCACTCAGAAGAAGCTTTAGTTTATAAACTTATATATAAAGATTCTCGTTAATAAAAATAATTATAAGGATAACAAAACAGTAGTAAAAGGGCTACAGTCTACATCTGAATTGAATTGTCTGTATTTTCTAGACACATGTTGAAAATATCTATAGTTTATTAACCTGTATTGGTAAGGATATCAATGATAACCTATTGGAAGATGAAGATCTGTGTTGAAAAAAAAAACTATAATCTATATACCATTTTTATGTAAAAAAACCTGTTATTGGAGAGACGTTATTATATACAACTCTTGGACAGATAATAGACCTATGTTGTATAAACGGTGGAATAGTATAAACTTTTGACAGGCTTAATTACATGTAGTTTTTTATATTAATATTATTAACTTTTTGAATCCAGTTTATAAAAGCTCAAGTGTACAAACATCTTCTATAAAGATATTTATGTACAAATGTATGTTTTGATTATTATTATGTTTTGATTATCATAATTTATTAACTAAAAGCATACTCTTTAAAGCTCAGTTAGAAAGGCTATGATAGCATTATATCTTTTCACAATATGAGCTACTTGTTAAGAAAACATGCTTTAAAAGACTTTAGTTTGTAATTTATGCTATATCAGCTATACTATATCAGAAAAGCACTACTAGAAAGCACACATAATTATATTTTGCTTAGATAATATTTTTGTAAAAGGCAGCTATTTCTTCAAAATATTGGTTCACATATATTTATTTTTCTTTAAAGAAAAACATTATTTTATCTCAATCATAATTTAATTTGTTTATCATTATTAATATACTAATTCATACTTTATTAAGATGCAGTATTTAAAAATAGTTATTGTTTTGCCAGTTTCTTATATCATTACTAGATTCATTGTAGTATATGTAAGTCTTTCCAAGCATATCATGTCAAATCCCGAACATGACAATTAACTTGCATAAAATGTGAAGTCTTATATTATATTATTGAATTATATACTTTTAAATATTCAGTAAGAAAATAAGTATCATGTTTTTCATTAATAAAATAATATGACGAGCACATAGTAAAATAAAATCAAAATGTTTATATTAAGCACACAAATGTATACTGTTCGCTAAATGCATCGAAAATTACAAAAAACGTGCGACTTTAGATAATTAAACAAAAAGTTGTAAGAAAACCGTTATAACAATATTTCAAAACTTCACAGTACTGTACAGTGTAAATGTCCTATATATTGATAAACGAAGAAAAGGCATTGTTATGTTGTAAAATTGAATTAAGAACATGTAAGATGCATATCACCTGAAGAAAACGGTGCTCGAAGAGGTGAAATATTCTTTAAATATAGGTTAGGAAAATGTAACCAAAATTGCATTTTGATTTTCGAATAAAATACCAAAAGACTATAACTGATTTCTTGCCAAAACAACACTAAAACATTATGGCTCAACTTTATGCATGGCCAATGAGTAATATGTCTTTTCGGAGATTGCAAGAGGACACACAAAAAAGCTTTTGCAAAAAAAAAAACTATTAGCATTTTCAGCCTTGAAACAAGTGTCATATTTGTGTAAAAAAATGGACAATGGGCAAGTAATTAATTGACCATAAAGACGAATATCTTCAACCATTGTTCATAACAGCTCGTTCATATTATAGTATTTCTTCTTGTCGGAAATCTCAGCAAGATATTTTACATGTTGGTAACAAAACCTGAATTGTGCCTGAAATAAAGTGAATTGATAATTAAGACCAAAATAATAATAATAATTTAATAATTCCATGATATCAATTTGTCAATAACTGTATTTTTTGTGTTTTATTTTATGTAATTTTAAACGATCAGTTTTCCTGGTAGACATAGGCAATGTTTTGCAATTGATTTGACAATTAGGCGAATTTATTTTACAGATAAATTTGCGATAAGATATAGAATGTTAAGTAAATACATGTTTGGGGGGTTTATATATGATGAAATATTCTAAAATATCAGACAGGTTCAAAATAATGATAAGTTTGGCATATTCGTATAGGGCACATATTTACTTATTGACGCAATGTGAAGTGACATAGACAATTTTGACTCAATAGCTCGTCAAATACAACTTAAATGAGAAGCAAGAATAGAGAATAATTTTCGAAACTGCATATTAAGATAGAACCTTCAATTTAGCTAATTCACATGCCTTTAATGAGGGTAGTTAATTTATTACTTACAATGTCGGTAAAAGCTGACTTCCTCCTTGATCGCAGTTGACAAATGGTATTCAGGACACTAATTTCTTTCTCAAAGAAACACTTTTCTGATATAACAGAGACAGCACAAAATAAACAACTTCGTTCAGCTCCAGTCCTATATATAACAAAATAAAATCACAAAAGTATCTATATAATTATACGTATACATGACATATCAAACTGCTTTCACAATGATTCAAGCCGAATCAAACACACAAATATAAATCTAGCTACACAACTAAATACAAGGACATACATGTATAATGATACATCTTCATAGAGGATCAACAGTAAATCAAAATATGAAAAAATTGATTTCGCAAATAGATTTGTTTTAATGCAATACTTACAAACAATGAACTACGATTGGTCTATCTTCTCTTTGACCTTTGACCTCATTCTCAACATCCTTGGCCAGCTTTAAAAACGGCTCAACCATAGATGGGACTTTTTCTGACTGATTCCATCCGTTATACTGGTAATGTTTCAAATGTAGCTCTCCTCCAGAAAGGTGCTATAATATTATATAACAAAAATCTGTTAATAAATTTTCATTAAATATCACTGATATTGACTGGTTTTATATATGATGTATAGATAGACATGTTGTTTTACGTTACATTGTGGAAGGATTTAAGAAAGGCTATTCAAAGGCAAAGTCCGGTTATCTTATTCGTAAATAAGTTATGCATTGAAATGTGTGATAGATACAGTAAAGGATTTCTGAACAGTTACAAAGGAAAACTCCAAAATCCTGCACATGAATTTGAACAAGGAGGATGTGATATATTAAAGATAAAAAAGCTGGAAAATGAAGAAGGACTAAATTGTAGGTATTAAACTGGTAACCAAAAAAATCTGGGCATAATTATTCTCAGTTAAAAATACAAAACATCTACCAGTCCAGTGCGTGATATTGTCATGTCCCGTATTGTACCATAATCCGTTGTGTCAACCGTCTTACAAGCTACTTGGAAATGTCCAACTTTGAACGCCTTTCCATCTTGCGGTAGATATTGTCCGACAGACTGAAATGATTTATATTCAAAAGTGACAAACATAAAAAAATTGAAATATCATATTTTCCAAGCAATCTCTTCGAAAATCAATTATAACATTTGATCAGATATTTTTGGCAAAAATTCAAAATCAGTCTTAATTATGATTCGGTAAGTACATGAAGTAACATATAAATAGAACGATTTAGAATTCAAAGACCTCTCATAATCTTTAAGCTTTAAAGGTTATTTTTTGTTTTATCCACCCCATCCCCCAACATTTTTTCATAGCAAACATTTGTATTGCATTAAATTTAATTGTAAAACGACACTTAAAAGAAATATGTTAGGTATGGAGTACTTTGCAAATCAATACTATTAAATAAAATTTTATCTACAATTACTTAAAACAAGCAAGATTATCTATAGATATATTCTTACTTTATCTTTCAGGTTTTCGTCGTCTAAATTAATGATGCAAGCACATTTTTCTTGATAAAGCATCGATATAAAGTCTTCAACTGTATTCGGCATTGGCGTCTGTGTAACAATAAATTTGTATGGATTTTCGTATCCCTAAAAAATTGAAATACTAAGTAAAATATAGTGTAACTTAATAATGCTATTTATAGTATATTCAATCTTTAATCGTAATTATGTACATAGTATGAACAATTTCACAACACTTACTTGTTCACGTAGATCTATACTAATATAAAACAGTATACAAACGATTTATAACGAAGGAATATGACTAGCTTTATAACTTTTCTGGGATAAGTGAAAAGAAATTTTATATACAATGACAACAATAATGTTAGATCTTTGTAAAAATATTTTGTGATTTGAAATAGCTTACATATATCCAAATTGTGCTGATATAATAAAAGAGTAGTATTAAAATGTCAATAATAATAATATACCAGTTTAAAAGCATGATGGATCAATTCAACAAAAGAGGCTATTAATATATTCAATGAAAAAAGGGAGGCAACGCAAGCAAGGTTTATGAAAAAAATATTGAAAAGGGAGACAAACGAAACTTTAAATGAAATCAAAATTATTTTCATTTATATACTTACATTTACATAAACAGCATTTATATAGTCATGCTTTGTTGATGACAGTCTCACTCTGTAATCATCGCCTACACATAAAAATAGGATGTTATTTATTGAAGCCTTAAAATGTTGAATGTAAATTTGCTTTATGGTTTAATGTTATAAAGATCTATTTTCGGCTTGAAATGCACAACAGGGGATTAACCATGAGTTCAAACTTAACCACCAACTGAATAGTCAAGGTTTGATATTCAAATGAGATTTTCATACAAGTAGAGAATATTTACAGACGGTTATTTTCTATTGAAATCTACTTTTAATTATTAACGCAGTGTGGTATAATGAGTGTGAATGAAAAAGGAAGTTTACCTATACAATGGCTATAGTCAATGTGAAATTGTTGAAATACAAAGAATGTTTAAACTTTTAAATTTTAACGACGTTGTGTACACAATTATGAATTACGGGTTGGTTTTCTACTATTTTTTCAAACAGCTCTAAACTTATGCTAACTGTAATAATTATTTCATAGTTAGTAAATTAATTTAAACATTTCTGTCTGCCAAAGGATCATTAAGTCAAAATTCTACTTCTATTTTATGGAATGAAAATGTATTTTATATATTATCCCCATCCCCTTGTGAAACTGACTTATTTGCAAATTTGCATACCAGGATGTCAGCTCCGTGTCTATTTTCCTTCCTTATTTTCTTGTTCCTAGATGATTTCCCATCGAAGTCTGTCGGCATAACAACATCAGTAAATGTCTGAAATGTTCAGAAAGTCACCACACCTGTTACTTAGATAATTCATGTTCATTATGTAACTTAAAAATATATCTTACAAAGGACCATGACCTTTATTATTTCTTTTATTATTTCTTCCCTTTGCCAGCTTTAGCCACTTTGAACTGTTTAAATCTTTAGGCAAATTTTCAATAAGACTGATAATAATGATTCTTCTTAATGATTATTTTTCGACTTTACACAATAATCGTATGTTTATATTATACAGAATGAGATAATTGATCAACTGTCTGTATATTTTTTATTATGCAACAGTAAATTTCCAAATCTCAAATGGAAGCGCTTCTGGTTGCATTGATAAAATAAATTGGTTTAAAGGAAGTGAAGGAGTAGAGTGATTACTATCAAGCACTTTCTTCAGAATAAGCAGTATCAAGTCTCCAATATGAAAACGATTTGCTTAAAAATATCACAGAGGAGAGAAACATGAAATAATTGGAATCAATGAAACAGCGAAAGTTTCCGTCACAATATTTCATGAAACAGTTGAGTGTGTGTTTACAGTCATTATGCTGATTTTAATTAATCTAAAATGGAAGATATTATAAAACAAACAAGCTATTATAATAACACAATTTGTTTTAAATATATACACATGTACCTGAAATTGATGTGAATATTTTATCATCTGTCATCAAACGAGGAATATGTGTGACCGGAAGTGGATCGGGATCGCACGTGAGGGCATACAGAAGACATCGGTGAAGAAATATATACTGTTCCTTAATAAGAGAAAGAACAATACATAGTTCTGAATAACAATTATTATGTCAAATAATAAAAATACAACTTCAAATATATATCCTACTATAATATCCATCATAATAGATTGTAAGGAAATCACAATTAAAGTACATTGATGACAAACATGTGTTAAAAACAAATATCATCCATACATAATAACATACCAAGTTTTGCACCATGTGGCCTCTTTGTCCACGTAGCGCCATCACACGACCAAAAATGTCAACATAATTATCATTCTTGCCTTCCTGTATAAGTGTATCCAATGCGATATAGATTCCAGTTCTACCGATTCCTGCACTGGTATATAAAAACATAGAAGGATGATAAAATTACATAGTACCAAAATCGATATGAATGTAAAAGGTTTTCTTTTTTATAAATGAAAGTAACAACTCAAAATATTTTTTTTGGCTTTGAGTCATTACACTCATGTAATAATATTTGCATTATATTACTTAATGCATATTCTTATTAATTCTTGAGATTAATTTTCGTAATGTGTATGTTGACATCTGACGATATATGGTTTGACGAGTCTTTGCAGTTATCAGTCATATATATTATATTAATACAAACAAATACCTGCAATGTACTACCATTGGGCCAGCATCATTTGACTTTGATTGTTCAACTTTGTTTCTAAACTCTACCAGAGAGGCAACATTGTCTGGAACGGATCGGTCGGGCCAGGCGGTATAGTGATATTGTGTCACTTTCCTTGATCCAGAACCCTTTGAAATGAAAAAAGAACACACACACAAAATACATTGTTATGAAATGTGTATTATAATTTGAGGTCTGTTGTTTACAAATTTCAAGACAAATTAGTACAATCTAGGGATACAGATAACTTTTGATCAACCTTTTAGAAAGATTAAACAAGCAGAACATTTAAATGTCTTAAACGATAATGAAATCAAAGGTCATTACAACGTATATTTATGTTTTGGTACCATATAACATACCTGCACATTAACAGAAAACTCCCTTAAAGTGAATTCTGAAAATATTTTCTCAGCAATGCACACTACTTTGTATCCATGGTAATTCTTTGTTTTCCCTTGATCAGGCCAGTACTGCTCACATTTCATTTTCTATGAAGAAAGCAAAGCATGATTTGATATTTTTACTTTTATTAAATTATTGTGTCTCTAACCCAATTATACGTGACCCAACATTAATATTTGTACAATACAAAACAATTATACGTAGAAAATAAAATACTTAGGTAAATGCATAATGTTCTTATTATAATGCACTATATTGATATAACTGTAAGAAAATGTTTATTTTTATTACGTTATGTAAGTGTCAAAAATATATTTCTAATGATTTAATAATATGTTTTAATCAGGCTGTTTCTTTCTACAGATCTTTATATATGAAGTCAAGTTATTAAGGAAAAATACAAAAATAAATCAAGTTTTTTTTTTCTGGCAAGTGTGTTAATATACAAACCCCAGACTCATCTAGATTGGTCAACATAATAATTTTATCTGTTCTTTCTTCCCATGCCATCTCCCAAAAGTCTTTATAGCCATTCATTGTATCTTTAGTTGGTCCTTAAATCAGTAATGAGTAAAGAAATATAAGAGGAATATTGGTGAAAATATGACACCCTAAAGTAATAGAATACGTAAGTGGTAATTTCGCATTACATTTTAATGACATTTTACATGTTTTATTAGCTGGATAAACATCTGGAAAATCGAGATCTCTAAGCGTAATGGAAATAAAGCGTTACAGACTCGGTTGTATTTTTTTTAAAACATTAACCTAGAATCAAAGAAAACATGTCTGTAAGAATAAAAACATTGTGTGACCAAAAGACAAATATTTGCAGTATTTGATATGATTGTAGACAGTATTCACCAGAGTTGAAAATCGTTTTTTAAAATCATTGTTATAATATATTAATAACATTATGCATATATATCATCGGTTGTTCTAGTCACGGAAGGGCGTCTGAGGTCTTTATTCATCGGTACAAGCTGAAAAGTCGCCATATGACCAAAACTGTGTTGGTGCGACGTACAAACCAACTAATAAAATGTTTACATACCAAGAGAAGCTATGTACTCTGGTGACTTCTTGTGTCCCTAAATTATGAAACATAAATGGATGTTAAATATCGCTATATAAAAATAGCCATATACAAATACTGATAATTCTTAATTATTATCTGGTCAGTCAAACCAATGTTCAGTCCATGGCAATGCAATAACATTTGTTATTTTTTGTGCACACGTTATTTTAAAAAATAATGGCATTATTCAATTCAAGTCACAAGTGTGCTTAGCTTCATCAGTTATTAATATTAAGTTATTATTTATACTTCAACGAAATATCAAATGACTAGCATAGGATTATCAGTGCAAAATAGTTGTATGTTGAAAGACGTGCTAAACATAAAAATATTTCTATATTACAATTTACGAAAATAATCAAACAAGTATGTGTGTTTATACATACATCAATGTAGTTTGCGTTGATATAGGTTTTACTTTTTAAGACAACACGAGTAGCATCATCTAAAACAGCAGAAGATATATGATATTCCTAAATGCTCGAATTAACTAAAGATATCTTACGCTCGCCTCTGGGTAAAAAAGTATTGCAGATATAAGTTAAAAGCTAGGATATTCTTACAGGATATGTTATGTTTAATTTGAATAAGATAATGCACACTGTATTCCCTGTGACTGGTCAAGATAATCTGGTTCTTTCTTAAAACAAAGTGTAAGTGTTTTGCTTTTTTTTCAATGACACTATGTATTCATACTGTGTTTAATTATAGTGTATATCGTTTAGAATTTAACATGTCTTCTCTGTGTCGTTTTACTTTGAAACATGACTGTATAAGACAGTAGCAGTATTGCTTAAAATCAAAATTGAATAATAACTTCTCAAATGCTTTGAAAATATTAGTATGTATAGATTTATTATCGATATTAACTTCATTATAAAATACGAGCATAACTTAAATGAGAAAAGAAACCGGCCAAACCTTACAAATATTGTCTTAAAATAAAAACAAATAATTACATGCATACACTCCGTTGTATCTGTTTTTCTTGCGATTAGTCCGAGTTAAAGCTTCGTCACAAGGCCTTGTCAAACCTTTAGGTAGTTTCTAAATGAAAAATGAGTTTCGTAACAATAAAACACCAAACGTAAAAATAGCTGAATTATTATGTTTCACCAAATGTATCGTTTCTATATCAATATATTTATAAATGCAGGTTTATCTGTTAAACAGATAGAGTTAATCCACGCAACTGTACATTTCTAGCAGTATTAAATTACAACATTTTATTGTTCAAGTAATAACTTAAGTTAATTATTGTCTTGTTTCAAACTATGAAAGATATATTAAGTTTCCCCTGTCCTATTACAGGTACAGATATATGAAATATGCAATTAATACTCAACCTCAAACTCATCTTCATAATCAGTCTTCTTTCTGATGTATTCAAGTAGATCATATATTTGAATCCGGCTTCTAACCAAACTTGCTGTATTGTAATACAAATCAGCACTCGGTGGATTTACTTCTGTAACATACAATGCTTTGTTATAAAGATTGATTCTATATACACTTATGTTTTGCAGAAGTTTCACCCACTTTAAAATAAATAAGGGACCTTCTAAAAAATTTTTTTCCTGTTTATAAAAATTTGGCCCGTCTTTAAACTGAAAAACAATCGAATTTTTTTTTTGAAATTAAATTTAGTAAAGATAACAGACATACTTACCAAAAAGGTTTATCCCTTTGGGATTTCCGACCGGATTTCGGTTAAATTTAGTAAAACCCAAACCCATTTTTATTTAAATTTAGAATTTCCTTCATCTAATTCTTCTAACTCTTTTTCATCAACATCTGTTACTTCTACAGTTTTATTTTCAGGATCATGTTCAATAGTGATAGTCGCATACGCACCATCTGAGACAGTTGTTTTATCGTCTAAGTCTATGGCAATCTTATCATACATTGTCTTTGATTTGCTAATTTCCCTCGTATAAGGTTTCTTGAGCTTGTGTGTTTTGTTAGGTTGTGCATATATGTAGTCCTTACTTTCTTCAACTGCAGCAAGTTTCTTCTTTGGTTTCCCGTACAAATCTAAATTATGCAGTATTAGGAAATATGATTAAACAGTAAACTGTTTTAACATTTTATTAAATACATTTAGTGAAAACTTAGTGAATGAATCGAATAAACGTGTTAACATCATACCTCAAATTAAAAATGTATGTTATCGATAAGAAAGAGAACTAATATTTAAAACATAATCTTTTTACAGTATACAAATTATGTTATATTTATTCGTTTTTATTTAAAATATAATATTCTGGTTTGTATTGAATATACAATTGTATGTGTTTTGATTTCCTTTTTGTCAAAAAAGAAAAAAAACAACTACAAACAAACAAAAACATACAACATAACACATACCTTGATTTTCTGTCATGGTAATTTCTTTTTGAGCAGTTCCAATTCAAAGCAATTCAAAAGTTATAATTGATTATAACGAAACAAAAGTCATAGCACCTTTAATATGGAATGATAATTGTGCTTATATTAGTTATGCGCTTCTAGATTATATTAAAAATGTCGAAAAATCAACTTTGAAATATACTGTAACATATTAATTTTCCTATCATATATTTGTCCGGCATCGTTCAACTGATAATCATACTGGTCAATGTGATAAACTTAAATGTATGAAAGTCATCATTATTTAAATGTTAAACAACATCAGTAGCACAAAACAGTTTGTTAATGGTGCTCTCATATACTTATCAGTAAATTAAAGATATACCTTCGTTTTAGCATACAAATACCGACAACTATTATCAATATGAGAACAAGTACACCCCCTCCTGCCGATGCACCTATTATTACAATATCATTGCTGTCTTCATTCGTTTGATTCATTTCTTTTGTAGTCTCGTTTCCAGTTCGATGTGTTGTGGTTCTTGTAACACTTTTTGTTGAACCTGTTTTAGTACAGAATAAAATGTTAGTAAACCCGTGTGTAATTGATGAGATATCTAAGCATTTATAATTGTGTATATGTTAACCATCATTACTTTAACAGTTGAAATACTAATAATCACAGTATTGATTGAGAACATGTACATTGTATCACAAACTTTGAAGCAAAACGTTAAATAATTATAGAAGAATGTTTTCTCTCCTTATAAAATAATAATCTATGTTTCATTCTAAGTAACTAGCTGAACCACTTTGAATGTCCTTTTTAATAAGTTCATGACATTTGTATGAAGAAAACAACACAGTCAGATATTTTAAATTAATATATTGGAATAACACAAAATACACGTCTAGCTACCGACATGATTAAATATTAAAAGACGCTGAATATATCGAACTTATAACAGTTTAAGCATGTTAAACTCTGGAATGCCCTACCTAGAACACTTAAAAGCTGTGAAACTCTTACAGTGTTTAAGAGAGCACTTAAAACTCACTTATTTAAGAGGTTTTATTTTGGACTGATTATTTTGTAGGTTCTTACCTGAATTTTATTATTTATGTGGGTCTTTTTAACTTTTTTAAACTACATTTGATTTGAATTTGTGACTTGAGCAATATTGATGTTTTATTTTTTTTTTTTGTTTCTTTAAAATATTGTATCATTTATTTGGCTATATTTTACAGTACTTTTGAACGTGTCAATGTGCATGAAAAAAGTGCTTAAGAAGTTATAATAATAATAATAATGGCAATAAATACATGAACCTTGTAGATCCGTTATGGTAGTTTGTAAACAATTCTCTCCAGCATAGCCACCTTTACATTCCCCTATACATGAACCGTTGCTTCTATCACATTCTTGGCTTTGACATTCCTCTAGACAGGACTTATCACACATATCACCCCAGTAGCTTCCTTTACACCCATTCAAACAGTATCCGTCTGCAAACCCACATGTGTTTTTTATCTTCTTCTACTTTACACGAAGGATTACAAACTAAACTGCAGTTAACTGAGTAATAGTCATCCTTACACTTCTTACAAATATGTTCGTTTTCTCTTGAGCATTTTGAGCATTTATCATCACATGCCTTTAAACATTTTTCACCGGTCCAGCCATCTTTGCATTCCCCTTGACATATTCCTATATTATTACAATAGGTAGAGCAATTTTGTGAGCACGGTGCTTTGATTGATTCACATGAGTTACCATTAAATACTTGACCCTCTGCACAATTAATGCAGACTAACGAATAGTTTCTTATTTGACAGGCATCACACCCTTGAATAACACAGTAATCTAAACATTTAGATTCATGAGGGCAGGACACACAGTAGACATTATCATTAAAAGCATAGAGATAGAAACCATCATCACAGATATAACATGTTTTACTATCTGTGCATTGTTTACAATTTGATGGACAACGTTGACATATTGTTTCAATAGCTGAAACGACGTATTCATAATAACCATTTCTACAACCTTTCGAACATACGCGTAAATCGCAAAGTTCATCTTTACATAAACTACAGTTATGTTGACATTGTAAACCATAGAAACCAGGTAAACATTCAGCACAGTATCCGGTATCATCGTGACATTTCATATTTACACAATTACCATCACAGTTAAACGGGCATCTTGCATGAACACCATATTTGCTTGGTTTACATGAAGTACAGTAATTGTAGCTGCTGCAGCTTTCACAATCCATATAACATGGTAAACAGCCACCATTTGATAAAAAGTAAGATGATTCACAACTTGTGCAAGTTTTACCAAAGCATGATAAGCAGCCAACAGGACATTCTGTAAATATACATATTTCTGTCTGTGCATAATTATATTTTTTTTTAGTTATACCATTTTCCAAATATACAGTCTTAACGAATATATATATATATATATATATATATATATATATATATATATATATATATATATATATATATATATATATATATATATATATATATATATATATATATATATATATATATATATATATATATCCTTTGTCAATTTTTATTAAATGAAAGAATAAGCGTGACCACAATGAATGAATAATATATCAAATTGTTAAATGATAACAAAATAAAATGTCAATAATTTATAGTAAATTATTTAGGAAATCAAAGGAACATGTTCTTACAAATATTTACACATTTCTATTCTTACAGTTTCATAAAAGTAAAAGAACTTACTGGTAAGTACCATATCAACAAACAGTACTAATATTATTGCTGACGTTATCTTAGACAACATTATCCCGTATCACACTCTACGCAAACCAATCTTTAAAGAAGAAAAAAAAACGATAATATTGTGATCAACTTATTGATATTCTTTCAAATACATATGTATTTTATACAACACTAAACGATGCTACTTTAATAAATGTTCTTTATTTGGTAATATATTTAACCTTAAAATCATAGTGGTACAAAATATATCTTTTATATTAGAAGATTCAGATCCATTACTGTAACAATAACATATAACAGACATTTCGAATTCTCATACATATTATTGAAAGTACAATTCAGTTTAAACAAAACAGTTACGTGGCTTGAATAATAATATTGAAAAAAATATCACAATATCCGTTAGTTCTGTTAGAAATAGCGAAAGCCATTAAGGAATATTGCAAACATTTATAAAACGAACACAATATATAATATATCATACCTGATTAATAACTCCCAAATAAACCGGTTCAAATTATCCTCATTCAATGTTATGATAAATAAACCGGTTCAAAACTTCCTCATTCAACGTTATGATTTGAATAAATACGGTATGCATCAGTGCCTCCATTTTAAGCAATTTGTAAGGTTATTTTTGGACGCGAAAACTTTCGGATTGATACGAAAACATTCGGATTGATACAGTAAAAAAGAACAAAATAGCTTTTAAATCACAAACCTTATTATCTTCTTAGCAGTTAAAAAGAAAACATCGTAAATCATGCCTATGAAAGTAAATAATAATTTGCTTTAGGAAAATTCAAAATATATTAAAGTATTAAACATATAATTATTTTTTTTAAAGTGAAACATGCTTAAGAAAGGCGGTAACATTGAAACTTCCTATATTCACGAATTAATCTTAATGAATTCATTGATCCGTTATTTCATTTCCTTTATAAAAAAATACAAAGCTGTTGAAGGAATACATAACAAATTCAAATTATATTGTACAAATAAGTATGATCTTTCTGTTCATATTATCAAAAGTTACGAGATGATTTGATACTGAATCACTGATGCACACACATAAAAATGCTGATTTTGTTAATATATTTGATTGCTGATAATTAATTGTTAATTTTTCCATGTTCTTTTTCTTTGTGTTGTTTTGCGAATTTTAATTTTCATACTTTAACGTTATTAGTAATTTTTTTATGAAACAAATTAAATGATTGAATATTTTCAGAATCTTTTCTCCCTTACGATCAATGTCATTACACGTTTGACTCTTTCAGAAATGTATTTCAAAACTTGTTTTATTAAAACATTATTTTTCTATATTTTTATCTGCTTTAGTTGTTAGTTTTTTCACCGCCTAAAGCCCCCTTATGCATTTTTCAAGTGACCCCCTTTCGTCCCCTTTATTTTATTTGCTATTAATTTATATCCACATGGGCAATGATCTTATGTCATGGCGGGCATCAGTGGGATATTTTAACAATCTTGGACAGTTTTACTCACGTGACTATGGATCTAAACAAATTATTATTATCTACTTCTTTTTTATTAAATAAAGCAATATGAAAAAACTAAAAACCAAATAATACTTTTTCAAATATTTATAAGTTTAGACCAATTATGAACTTTAAAATATGCACTGATCATATAAAATGAAATACTAAAGACGAAACTCCATCATGTAAGTTAGATAAATAAAATATGTTTAAACTAACCAAAAACTTAGCAAGTTTTCTTCTATTCTTTAAGTTTGTGTAAGAAAGTATTCAATTTTGCGAAACTTTCATCTAGATTCGCTTTTAACCTTCAATTCATCATAATCTTTTAAGTAATCACAAGTCCTTTAATACTATGATTTTTAAGTATAAACATCCAAGTTATTCTAACGAGTATATGTCACTCGACAAGTTTAATTTATTTATCGTTTTCTTATATTTAGTATATTTATTGATTTTGTCTGGCGACATTGAGCAAATATTCGAAGCATTGAAGACAAATTTTAAAATTCTGTGTTTTACGAAGTCTTAACTTGACGTACATGTACAAGATAGTAATTTGAAATAAACAGGTTTTGATTGCATGTTTAGAAAGGATATATACAGTTACTTTGGTGAATTTTTTTAATTTACATGTCTGCATTTCTATGACCTAAACGACTTATAACTTTGAAAATGTCCCTGAATCAGTTTGAATTGAGATAATTGATAAGAAAATAATTATATCTACTATATACATTTTATAAACCGCCCACTACACCGTCGCATTTTGGGAAAAATTAAATAGATGTTAAGGAAAAGCTTCTGAACTGAAACACAATATTACGTAAGGTATTGAAAACAACTCAATTCTTCCAATCATAATTTCATTGACATTCTATAACTATATGTGTAATATACTTTTATGATTGCCACAACCCGAATAACATATAATTCACGAACATTACTTGATCCCATGGCAGTTACAAACAATAGCTTTTTGTTTTTTATTCGAGTATATTTGAAACACTAAAGTAGTTAGTAACAATTTTGAACTACAGTCCAACCCCGTTTATTCGAAGTGCCTGGGACTTAATATTTACTTCGAATAATCGATGGGTTCGAATAATCGAAATCGGAATATTGTGATAGACGAAGACTACTCCACATTGACCAATTATGGCAAAACTACTGTTTACAACACTTTTACTTCCTGTAATCAACTGTCATCAATTGAGAAAAATAAATATTAAAGAAAAGATGCGTAAAAATTATTGTATTGACATTGTAGACATAAAAACTTTAATTTTATTCTATATTATGTATCATTTCGTTTCGCGCAAAACCTTGATAATGGCCGTCACTGCGGTATTTACAGCTAAACTCTGGTATTTTCGATTAGGATAAAGGCTCTCATGTAGCGTTACAATTAATGAAAAAGATGTTTTGGATGTTTTGACAAATTTACATAACGGTATGTATGAAAATTATTGCTGTCATCTTCAAGCAATAACAATAAGAAAATCGGACACGGTGCATAGCTTTTCATTTTCGGTAATTAAAGTTGTTAAAGAGTTATTATCATAATTGTCTAAATACACGCCTGACTGTTGATATTTTTCACAAGTCGACCGATCAGCGAGTGGATCTGCGCCAATTAGTCTGGCTTCGAATAATAATTAGGCTGGCTTCGAATAATAGGTGTGAAATTCTTTCATAATTGTATAATCGGGACCGAAATTTTACATCGAAAAATAGGAGGTATTCGGATAATGCATTTCGAATAATACGCTCGTATTTATATTGATTTATATATAGATAAAATTGGGACCGCAGATCTACTTCGGATAATGCCGGGTATTCGAATAAAGGATTGTCGAATAACCGGGGTCGGACTGTATATATATTTCTATTAATCGATTTTGATTCAAGAAAGTTCCATTCAAAAGAACTGTTTGGAACTAAAAAACTGATTTTTTAAAAACTACAGTATCTTATCCTCAATACTTATTGGTCTGATAAGACCTAAAGATAAACCCTTGTTCAATTCGGAGAATATCGCGCCAAAGAGACAGACAGTGTCACAAATCATATGATTCTATTAGATCGTCTGACTGGGTATTATATAAAAAATTAAGAAACACTGTGATTAATATGAAAAAGCATGCAAAAGAAATATTTTAATTTCGAATTCACCTTAATAACTTAAATTCTTCAAATCCGCGTAAATATTGGCATACATTGCTTGTCTAGAAAAACTTGTCGAATAGTGAAAGTATACCACCTTTGAAATGTTATAACAATAACTATTCAATGACAGATTAAAAAAAATGCTAATACGCTTAATGAGAATTGTTTCACGAACCTGGACCTGATCTTCCAGATTTGTCTTTAAGACCACAAGCATTTCTTAAAGTTTTTGCAATTTGCGAACGGAAAATTACAGATATTTTGGCAACTTAATGCAATTGTATACAAATCATTCGAGTCTGACGAAATAAGTCATAAATGTTAAAAAGGAAACGCCTACAACACTGTGTAACATACAGAAAAAATAATCCCTATAGAAAGTGCAAACGGCAAAATTGAAAATATCTTTGCTTTATAACCGTTCTTTGTCACAGAAAATATAGCCGCCAAGTTGGAAATTAGCACATGTAATGCCTCTTTTTAAAAAGTGACAAAGATACACCCTGAAATTCCCTATTTCACTTATTAGTGGTATTGGTAGAGGAATGGAACTATCGTTTTAAACATATCTACATGAAAATGCTTTAATATATCCAAATCAGTAAGGTTTTTTGCCAGGTCATACAAGTGTTTTTCAACTTATAGATATATATATATATGAACAAATTTGTAAACTTTAAACAACAAATAAATTACATGTATGGTTTTCTGTGATATATCAAGCGTTCGATAGAGTTTGGTATAAGGGTATAATTTCAAATTAAAACAGTACGAAATTGCAGATGAGTTAATTCATTTGCTACAAAATTATCTAATGAATATTTACCAGACAAAATTCTATCGAGATTTCCTTGTCTTATTTACGTACCTTTATGGTGTTTTTCTTCAAGGCTCGGTTTTAGGGTATCTCTTGTTTTTAAATTACGTAAATAATATTGCTGAATCAGATTCACTTTTAAAAATTCCACGACCTTCTACAGACAATAGTTCTTTAGCTGTGTCTACAATAAATACTAGTACGATGGAATATAAACTCAATGACGATCACAAGAATTAAATAAATGGATTAACAATGGTTTGTTAATTTTAATATTCCTTACACCTAGGTTACGTTATTCTCACTTTGTAATAGAGATCGTCCACGTTCATAATTTGAAAATGTTAAATTGAAGTTTGTAGATTTTGTAGAGCACCATTAACTATAGTTATTAGGCATCTCAAATTTTAGAAAATATGAAATTATAAAATTTTAAGTTCAAAGAAGTACAGTCAATAAATCCGCGGCTTGAATATGCATCGCTTTTATGGGATAACTGTACCCAGTATTAGAAAGATATTTTAGAAAAATGCAATATGAAGTCGCTAGAATTGTTACGGGTTTAACAAGATATGTGTCCATTCAAAAACTATAAAAAGAATAGGTTG